TTTTCCTCTTGGTTTTTGCCTCTTGAATCTTTCACTAAATTTTTCTCACACAAGGGACTGTGTGATTTAAGTTTGGGGGAGGGTTCAAGAGATGATTTAACCTTGTTTTCTTTGTTCTTAGTTTTTCATTTATCTTTTGCATAGAAAAACCAAAAAAAATCATAAAATTTTCAAAAAATCCAAAAATATTTTCATCTTTTTGCATTCATATTTTAGACTTGTTTAGGATTGCATTTTTCACTTGCATTGTTGATTTGACTTTGAAAACTTGTCCATCTTTTGCGATTTCTTGAGTGCCCTGTTTTTAGATTCTTTTGTGCATTAGGGTGAGATTGATTGAGCAGCAAGAACCATGTTTATCTTGATCATATCACTGCATGCACATCTCATTCAACCATTGCTGTGATTTGATGCATTTCCCTATCTATTTGAACCATAACTTGATCTTTAATTACCAATGCTTGCATTTGATTTCAACTCATGGCTACCACATACATATCTGGACATTCTTTACCTATTTTCATATCCCTCTTGCTTGTCCAGATAGCTGATCTCCATCTTTGAGACAGTTACCACTCCTTAAACCTAAGCCTTTTTCATTTCAAACCCCCATATTATCTCTTGTGCGAATTGTGAGACCTTTTCTTGGCTTTGCTTAGCATAAGGTGTTGTGTTTAAACCGGCAGGGGCAGTAGTTCTAGTTGTCTAGTTCCCTTGGGATTGTTTTCAGGCTAAGTTTGGGGTAAAAGTAGTAAAAGTTGGGAAAATCCAAAGGAAAAAAAATTTAGTTAAGTCCAGGGAGTTGGCAGTGCTAAAAAGGGTCTAGTAAAGGTTTGGGAAGTTAAAAAAGGAAGTAAAAAGGGTTCTAAGTAGAAAGAAAAGAAGGCAAAGCCTCAAGTGTCAAAAAGAAAAGAAAAGTTCTCTAAGTGTTTAGAATATCCCAAACCGCTAGATGTTACCTCAAGAAGCCTCTCCCTAGGAAGTTCTTAAAAGAAAAGTGAGCAAAGCTCCTCAGTTTCAAAGGCGAAATGCCAAAAAGGGTAGTTAGGATTTTGTTCTAAAAAGCTCTAAGTGTTGAACTCGATCAAGTTAGGATTAGGCGGCTCGATTTTGAGGACATGTTTTTAAGTGTTGAATCAACTCCATTTCAAACCTCATCTCTTTCTTGTTCTATTTGTTTGCTTGAGGGCAAGCAAAGGTCAAGTTTGGGGGTGTTGATGTACTTGCATTTTGCATAGTTTTAGTACATCTTTTATGCATCTTTTGCATAGTTTTAGCATCCATTAGCATCATATCTTGTTCCTTTTCTCTTCTTATGCATTCATAGTAGTTTTAGGTTGCATTTGCATACATATGCATGTTTGGTCCTTTGAAATAGGTCTTTTGGAGCATTTTGGAGCATATGGGACGTGAGGAGCATGGAAGGACTTGGTGCATGGACGCAGCTCAACTGGATACGCAAAGGAAGAAGGAGGAAGCCATCTTGAAGACCAGCTCGACCACCTACTCGACCATCCGGTCGAGTTCCTCAACTCAACTCGATCGAGCTGAGAAGTCAAAGTCAAACCCGAAAAATGTTGCTTCCCCCTTGACTTCCTTTGACCCTAAACCTAAATCCTCTTGTATTTAAAGGCTAAAAGCCACGAAAAAACCACCAAGCTTTAGATTACTTTTGTTTTAGCTTCTTTTTAATTATTGTCTTTTACTTTTTAGAGCTCTTAATCCAATCTTTGTGTTCTTGAAGCTCTTGCTTCTTGAATCCTAGATCCTGGATTATCTCTTTGTATTTGCACTTGCTTATTTCAATAAAAGTTGTTTATCTTTATCTCCTCTTTCATTTGATGTTTATTTCAATGCATTTGCTTGTGTTTACATTCATGTGTAGTGAGTAGTTACCCATTAGGGTTTGAGATGGGATAGATTAGGGGATCTTTATGCTTAATCCTTCTTGCTTATGTTCTTAATCTAGAAATCTCTCTCTTTTGGAAACCTTAAGGCTACATGACCACTACCCCTGGCTTGTATGTCCATAGGCGATTCTCCACATGGAAGTGATGGAAATCGTTGGAAAAGGTCCACTAAGAGCTCCAATAACTCTTGCTCTCGAAATGGAGTTCATAGGGGTTGGATGGATTAGTTTGAGCAATGATCCTATGGCCTCCAAGGCTCGATTCACCTTGGGAAAGGGTTGCTAGGCATTGAGAAGCTCAATATCAAGAGATACCTTGATACAAGTTGTTTGAGAGCAAGATGATTAAGTATAGCCTTCCTCTGATTGTTAAACCCTGTCTTAGACCCTAATTCTCGCATTAGCTTGTTAAAGTCGCTGCCTTTATGCTTTTTACTTCAACTCGACCCTAAACTCGATCGAGCTCGGTTACTCTGTTCCACTCGACTCGAGTCCTTGGTCGAGCTGTTGCTCTACTGCTTTATTTACTTACTGCATTTCATTTCTGTTTCATTTAGGTTGTTAGTGTTACCCCATATCATTTACTGCTTGCTTGACTTCCTTGTTATTTCATATCTCATAGAGTGACAACTTCACCCATTTTGGATTGATACCCTTTATGCTATAACGTCTATAATGGTTAAAGGGAATTGTTGACTGTGTTTGTGTTTGCATCTTACCACCTCATCATATACCACTGTTGCATTCCACCACATCTCATTCATATCTTTCACACACATCCTATCATCACAGTACACAAATCCTATCATCAGTACCACTGTTGAATGATTCGTGATCGGGCTGAGAATCTCGCCGTTGAGATGTTTGAGCTCTGCTGTGGGGACATTGAACTTGACGACTGAAGCCATGCTCTGTATCATTTAGCAATCGGCTGCAGCCATGCTCTGTTTTCTTATTTGCTGTTTTGAATGTTTAACTTTGAACTTCGCCGTCATTGTTGAATGTTTAAAAACTTTTTGTTTCCGGCATTCTGCTCTGCTGTTATGCAAACTGATGTTAGGCATCACTTATATGCAAATAGCATCTTACTCTACTTTATGAACTTCTACACATGTATATAGCAGTTCATTAATGCAAGTAGCAGTTCATTAATGCAAGTAACAGTTCAACAACTTCACGTAGTGGATGATTTATGTAGAGAGACTCAGATAACTTAAAAATATTTTACATTAACAACGGGGTGGCCATCCATGAGGGAAAATCCCCTGAGTTCTTCAGCCAGTCAAGGTTGTCAACCTTGACAGACTGGCACAAAAGCATTCTAAACATAATAAGCGAAGCAGTAATTAAACATGTGGCAATAATATGTTACAAAGTAGGGGCCACTTAATTTTAATTAAACATGTGGCGCAGTATGGTACATGCATCATTTCGCCACTTGATTTAGGTTCCGTCACTTGATAAAGCCGAGAGACTGTCCCTTACATCGGAAAATTGGCAGCCTAGTAATACAGAGATAAGGTAATGAACTTCATACATTTTTATAGACCGTTATATTAAAAATGAGACCCCATACCTTTATTATATTATGTAGATAACATACTTATATGTCGTCATATGGGCATTTTGCAGGATGCCCGGTTATGTCCGGTGCCATGGCAACGCGTACACTCCCATCTCTCCTTCTTCTACGGCCTTTGAGTTTCTTGCATAAAGTGTTCATATTAGTTTGGACAAATGTAGAGCACCACTAACATATATGACCCGCTACATATACCTTAAACTCTCCAGAAGACAGGTATCTAGATATCTTAGGCCTACCTGGTGGCCTCCGTGTCTTAGGAGGTAGTATTTGCAGGGTTGCGATATTGTCAGGCACGCGATACAGGTTGCTGAGATCCGGGACTGGGTTGATGCTGTGCTGGCAAGCCAACTTCCAGTAAAACGTGCTATACGCTGGGTCGCAAAGGGTGTGCACGGGTAGATCTGCACGGATGGAAGCTCCCACCGCATGTGAGCAAGGAACCTTCACCAAAGTCCACTCCTCACATGTGCATGTCTTCATCTGCAGATCAACATGGAACGATGTCCCCATCGGTGTCTTAATTTCGTAGTTGTGATCGTTAACCTTCACAACAGTAAACCCCGTTGACTTCTCGAAGTTTGTATGGATCATAGCGGACACCGTTGGTGTCACCGCGGACAAATGATTCGATGCCCTATCCCTGCGCTTAGTAAACCAAACCATCAAAGTGCTTCGTATGTACTCGAGTGTTGAGACGATCGGTAACTCGCGGGCTTCTTTTAGGACCGCGTTGTGTGACTCTACCACGTTGCTAGTCATGATATTGTAGCGGTCACCGTCGCAGTGAGAACGAATCCAGCGATGAAACCCAATGGATCTCAAGTACTCTGCGCAGGCAGGGGAGAGGAGCTCAATCTCCGTGAAGGCGTCATGGAAAGCTGATTTCCTGTACGCCCTAGCTGCTTTCGAAATCATTGGTTCCAGCACCCTCAGCTTAAACTTAGCCGCCACATTCCTCTGCAGATGGACAATGCACGCACCGTGGCTTAACCTTGGATACATCTACCAAAAGAACAATGCCCTAATAGTTGCCGATAGAGTTAGCCAATCTAACAGAACTTCTAACACCGTATAGACTATAATGTATATCTACCGGAATACATAAACCCGCATAACAAACGTTAACGTGCTTCACAGTTTCATAGATACAGAAGCATATAGGTTTACACTTAACAAGAATGTTTGTACCTTGTACAATCCCGCATAGATTGAGGAATGCATGTCGGATACGAACGTCAGAGAGTCCTCGTCTGATACTATCTGTCTCAGCTTCCCAAAGAACCACTCCCACGCCTTATCATTCTCGCTGTCTACAATGGCGAACGCGATTGGGAATATCTGAAAGTTCTCGTCTTATGAACTTGCCGTTAGGAGGCATCCGGAATATCTACCTCGGAGGTGGGTTCCGTCAATCACCATCACTTTTCTTATAAACTCCAAGCCGCGAACACTCCCACCAAACGCAACGAAGCAGTATTTGAATCGCGTTTGCTTTGCCTCGTCAACCTCTGTCTCGATTGCTGTGATTGTTCCTGGGTTAGAGACGTTTAGTAGGTGCAAGTATGCTGGCAGGAGCCCGTAGCTTGCCGCAGCCGACCCTTTTGCACTGTCCATGGCTAGCTCACGTGCACGCCAAGCTTTCCAGTACGAAACGCGGACTCTGTGATGATCGAGCATGGCTCGCTGGACTGCAGCAAGATTTGGTCCTCGCGCTACACCCACATAACGACTACGCATTATCTCTGATATCACGGAAGCCGTTGCCTGACAGTGGAATTGACCACGTATCTCAACACTACAGGTATGGGCCAGAACCGCCGTCCTGATTTGGAAGTAGTTACTCTCCTCCATGCGTCCAACATACACCCTCCATGGACATGTGTCGGACAAGCAACGGACGACAACGACATCCCCGTTAGAACTCTCATTCCGGTAGCTGAACTTCCTGTTAATTGCATGGACCGCTATCTTGACCTTGCAGTCCTCCTTGTTTTTTAAAACTCGGCCAACAAATAGCTCGTCACCCTCGTACGAGACGTCGGGTACTACATTAGCGGTCCTGTCCACACCTGCGCAGCATCACACACATAAACGTTTGTTACATACGTTGCTATACATTATTCATACACATCCAGATAAATACATACTTTGCTATCCATTTTTCATACACATTCATATCAATTCATAGCACTTCATATAATCATATGTAAGGGTATAGAAATGTTTTTCATGTTGTTACTAACCCTCGGTTTCAGGATCGTCTACCACCGGAGCTGCATCCCTACTGAACGTACTATCCGGAATGTTGATGAATAGGCCATCAAACAGTTCACCAGCAGATCCAATAGACACGGGGATCCCTTCCAACGGAACACTAGGTCCTGCACCTGGGGCAGTGTACCGACTCGTTAATACTATTTAAATCGGGATAACGTAATATCTATCTGATATTATATAGATCTATACCTTCAGATAGCGCGGGACCTTTGCCCTTCGTCTTGTCATCGCTCAGGCTATCCAGGTTCGCCCCCACCGGTTTGCGCTCAGTCGCCGCACCTTCAAACATGGGGAACATGTCCTTAGTCAAATGAGTTACACTATCGCTTGCTGCTTCTTCGTCAGAAGGCGAGCTGTCTGGAAACACACTGGCGGACAATCCATGGACGGAGTTACCGGAGTTTATTTTCACATGAAGATCCAACAGTTCATCTACAGGTCCAGATGACTTGATGGATGGCTCACGCGTCTTGCTACTCTCGCCAACATCTGGTGTCTTCTGTGACAGAAGGACGATGTCGCCCGCACCGATGTTATCTGCTACGACTTTTTCCCGATCATATTCGCTTCCCCTAACCGTTTCAGCAGAAGCAAAACCGTGGGTCGGTTTCACGACCCGAAAGTCTTCTACGTCCAGGGACATTCCTTTCGCCATCGGGCCGACAAAAAGCTTCAGTTCACGTAGATCCACCCTCATAGCCAGAAACATGTCCAGGTCGTCGTTGGTGCGGATGTGAATCGGCACTGGTTTGATACTGCCGTCGACGTCCATCCACTCCGGCATCTGGTACGTGAGCTTGATGTCCTCGATTCGGAGTCGATGTGGAGCTCATTCCGCACCTTCTCTTTCGTAGCCGCCAGTGTTTCGCCTTCTTTTATCTTCATTTCTTTGCTAAGCCGGTCTGATGCCACGAAGAACCGCCATACTTCAGTTGGATCTTTGGTCCACCAACCCTGCTCCACCCTGACGAGGTCACTTATAAGTTCCCATAAGAACACCATATTGTCACCCTGTAGACACGCAAGAAGTAAGAGTATTAGTACTGCTTTAATGGTGGATGAAAATATATTACAAAATAATGGACAAGTTCCTTCACTGCACATACCTTTTACGGCAACTTTGGAAGTATGCTCTGATATATCGGATTGTACTTTGTTTTAACTGCTCTGTTTTTACTTGTTTCAGGTGGCTGCTATGAAATGGGTACTTGTGGTCTGCTATTTAAAGGCGAAACCAAACTCTAGTGTAGCGCTCCAACAATCACATTCCCGCCCACAACAGTAAGTGCATTCAATAACTGGCTCCTCTACCGCAATAAATTCATCGCTAGCAGTCATTTCGAAGCCAGTTGATAACAATTATACGTGTGCGTACTTAAGGTGGCTACATTAACTTCACTCAAATTACCTGCCCCAGTAGATCACCACGCGCACAATTAATTCATTTTGCTCAACGCGTTTTGCTATGTGATTTTTGCCGGTACCCTTTGTCTGAATACTAATAGCCATTTTAAGAATGCTGCTCACCTAAATAAAGGCCCGAATTAGGCTAGTTATCAAATTCACTCTAAACTCATCAAGAACAACCACAAACCAAATCGAAACTAGCAAATCGCGGACCCACAGTCATGCACTCACCTTGACCATAATTTGAAACTGAAGCAAAGACAATGAACAGTTCCGAATCCCGACGATGAACAGTACACCGATAAACAGTACCCCGATGAACAGTAACGAAATCTGCTCCAAAATCAATGAATTTCTCCTTGAAACCTCTGTCTCTTTTCTGTTACTGTTCACCCACGAAAATTACAAAAAGGAGGCAGCTCCTCACTTTTATTTCACAAACTAGGGCTTTCTCCACTAAACCAGCCCAAACCAAATCATTTAAATTGAAGGGACGAAGTTCCCAATTTTTGGTTTATGGATGTTACAAACCCAACCATGAAGGAATGGCTGAGTACGTGGGCACAACTTTACCATGTGATATGGATTCAAACCAAGGGGTTCATGAAAAAAAGAGTGTGCTTGAAGAGTTTCAAGAGGATGTGTTTTCTTTTAATGGAAAATGTCTAAACTCTTTCTTCTATTCCTCACTGGAGTCCAAGGAGAATAGTTTTGCTGAACATGATGAGGGTGTAATGGTGAAGAAAAGGGATCATAACAAGCTTAGTGAATGTGTCAAAGGCGTCCTAGATGGAGAATGTCTACAAAGCTTGTTTGGTGAGCACATGGGAAGAGTCCAAGAGATGAAAGTGGGTGGAGCTGAAATGGCTAATCTGGGAACCACAAGAAAGATGAAAGAACCCCAGTCTCTCTCCATTGATCCATCTCCCAACATACTAAGCTTGATACCTTTAAGATTTAAGGATGGGAAGATTGAGTACAAAGTCAAAAGCAAGAGAAAGTCTAAACCATTCTCAAGTGCCAAAGCCGTCATCAGTCCTAGCCTTCAAAGAGATCCAAGCCAGCTTCAAGAGCTTCTCTCTCAAGTCCTAACCATTACTCTTGAAGGCGTTCCACCTCTTACTCCTCACTAGCAAGTGCTAAGAAAAGTCAAGCTAGAGACTTAAAACAAGCACACTTGAGAGGAAGTCTCATGTATATCCTTATACATTTTTTTTGTGCTTTATAATTCTGTTATTTTGTGTGTTTTTCAGTGTTTTGCATTGTAGGTTTGGTGTATTATGTTTGAAGGCAAAGTTGGTCAAAGTCCAAGGCAAACAGGTTGACAATCGGGATTCACAACCCGATTCTCGACCCAACCCAGAAAGAGGAGAGCTATGAGATTGCCAACTCTGGAGTCTAGCAACCCATCTTCCAACATGAATATTCTCCATCATCCTCAGTTCATTCTAAAAGGTACCACACTCCAAACCATTGTAAATACATTACATTCTTTTTAGTATTGTCTTATTGATTGCTCTCTCTTGAACTTTTATTACACAAGGGACTGTGTAATTTAAGTTTGGGGGAGAGGTTGAGAAATTTGACATTGTTTCTTTGTGATTCTTATCTCATCTCATGCATAACATTCATTCATTCAAAGCAAAAAAAAAATCATTTAATTTTGAAAATTTGCATAAAAATAAAGATATCATTTGGCTGCATTTACACTTAAGATTGAGTCTAGTTGCATCATTTAGACTTGCATTCATACATTGGGAATGCAAGTCTAAATGATGCAACTAGACTGAATTCACTGACCTAGTTGATAGTTCATTAGTGCTTGTTGTGTGAGTTTGAAGGTTTAAGATAGCACCATGCCTTGAATGCATAAATCAATTATCATTACTTTAACTAAAGCATGCTTTGATTGTGAACTCATGGATTCATATTGATGGCGGGTTTAGATTGCCTCAAATTTTCACAATTTATAAACCCAACTAATGAGCTGCAAGTGCACAGCCGTGTTGTAGTCGGGGTCGAACACGAGGAGGAAGTGTTCTCACTTAACACCTTGTGAGATTGGTTTGTAGCTAGCTCGCAATATGAGATGGTTTTGGACCTAGATGAGAAAACAAAACAAAAGAAATGTGAGTGAGTTGTAAACAATTTAAAACAAGAGTTAGGCAAAGGACAATCATATGGAGCAATGATGAAAAGATAGTTGCATGGGATGTGTGTAGAGCCGTCTTGAACATGAATCACTAGTGTATGGTCTTTCCACTGTCGTGGCTCCAACCACTATGTTTAAAACAACCTAATATACTCAGCTTTCGTTGGCTATTAGAATTGCAAACATGCATTAAAGGTGATCAAGATTCAATTGTTCACAATAAACCATAACTCAGCTTTCGTTGGCTATGATCTATTGCTCACCAAATACTAGTTTTGAGATCTAGATTCAGCACTGTCGTGGTTCTATTTCTCTAAGATCAGATTACTAGATGTACGGTAGAGTAATCATGCATTAAGCTCAAGTAAAGGTGAAGATCCATAAGATAAATCCCAATAAGTTGCAACACAATCAAATCATCACGGCCACCATAGATCTCCTCGGCCTAACTAAGAGATCTACTCGGCCATGATGCAAACAAGCAAGCAAAGCATGATTGTAAACATTATGCAAGTATTAAAAGAGATAAAGGGATGAAGAAAGCTTCTCTATTGATGAACAAAGTCGGATTCTCCCTTGAAAACTCTTAAAATCAAGTTTATAGAAATGGAAACAATGAAAAAGAAAGAACAAGAGTTGAGCGGCGCCTCCTTCTTCTTGGACGATCTCCTAGGGCTTCTCTCCTCTGAACTCTCTTCTCACACGTACACTCTTTGATAATTTTCGGACTCGACTCCTTCTTCAGCGGCTAAAAACATGTATATATGGGCGAAGTCGCGTAGGGTTTTCTTCATGCCGGAAAAGGAAAGTTTCCCATGAGCAAAGCCTTCTTCTCCACGTCGTGTATGGGCCGACATTGTACCAAGGAAAGCTCCAAACATTAGCCAGGCCTCTTCTCTATTCGATCAAGGCCTTTGGCGCTGCTGCTCGGGCCATTAGACACTCCAAATCCTCCATGGGCTTCGTTTACTCGCTTACCGGACATGTCTCGGTAGAAAATAAGTTCCGGCCTCATAGTTGATCCAAATGGCTTCATTCCACTTCGACGTGATGCATGACTCAAGTATCTATCTTTCCATATCAAGATCGTAACTTTTGGACGTCGGGAACTCCTCCGCGCGCGGCCAAACTTCCGAAGCTTCGTTCTGCGCGCTAGCGAGAACTAACACTTGGAGATAAAATGATCTTCTTGACTTGGAAACTTGCATGGATCTTGATTTAGGGCTCTTTTACTCCTTTTTGCATCCTTTTTGATGGTTTCACCTACAAAGACTTCAAATCCCACAAATACAAGAAAACTACCTCTAAAGGCAAAGAATCTTGCAAAAACCGTTTGAAAACATAGTAATTATATAGTAAAATCATGTAAAATATGGTGATATCAACTCCCCCAGACTTAGCCTTTTGCTTGTCCCCAAGCAAACTAAGCAGGAAAAGAGGTTTGAAAACGTGAGAACTCTCAAATCTTTTGGAAATCCAAATTGACTTATGCTTTAGTAATCCACATGAAACAGCATTGGCAAGTTTTGAATTAAGAACAAAGTACATACCATGAGTTTTGCGATTTTCCCAAAGCGGTCCACCTCTCCTTGGACAATCCAATTCGCCACCCTTGACTCCTTTCATTTCTAAAGGTGTGGTCTCAACTAGGGAGTATCGATCAGCCGGCTTTTAGATTCTTACTCATCCCCTTGTTTGGCACTTGTCTTTTTACTCCATGTTTCTCCTCTCTCTCTTCTCACTTCTTTGAGTTGATTCATCCCTTTTTTAGGGTAGCGAAGTATTTTTTTATTCAACTCCTTCTCAT